TGGAGGGCAGGCACCAAGAAAGAACACGCGTTTCAGGAAGAAAAAAACAGGTTAGTTGGGTCTCTAATCAGACTACACAATCTTTTTATTCCCCCATTCAGAAATTTAAGATTATTTTTCTTCTTAAAAAGAAGCTCCTCCCCCTAAGGGTGGTGCATGGTGAAAGAAGACTGTACTTACACGGGGTGGCGACAGAGACTATCTTGTCACTCTTCAGCCTGCTGAGCTGTGTGGGATGGAGAAGTAAAGTCACATTTCCATGACAACTAACTGCCTCCCCCCAAAAAAAAAAAAGATTTCGAGTAGTGGTTGAGTCAGGCCTGGTTTCCATAATTTATGTCTCTGTGATACAAACCCAGACTCCCCACTAAACCATCTGTACAGGGGGATTGGGGGCCCAAGTGAGGTGCAGCTGCTCAGCGGAGGAAGGCTTGGCGGTGGGATCAGCCCAGCAGGCTGATGACGTAGAGTTCACGTGTGGGTTTGACCCTGGTGGCTGTAGGTACAATTTCTTCACGGGCTGCCCGAAGGCCAAGACCTGCACGATCATCCTCCGCGGCGGTGCTGAGCAGTTTATGGAGGAGACAGAGCGGTCCCTGCATGACGCCATCATGATTGTCAGGCGCGCCATCAAGGTACTAGGCTTGTGGCATCAAATGTGACTGTGTGACTCTGCTCTGACACAGAGTCCATGTGGTGGCTCCTGCCTGTGTGACCTACCTGTCATCCCTGCGTCCTGCTTCTCCCGAGAACCTCGCTCTGAGAAGCAGCGTGCTACCCTGCCCATAGGGTGGGGTGGGGTTGGCTGTGCACAGACTGGCACTTATAGGCCAGCCAAGCCCCAGGACTGTGAAGATGGTCTGAAAGCCATTGAGTTGACTGGGCTGAGATGGGGATATGCTGGGAACCCTGGTGGAGTAGTGGTTACATGTTGGGCGGCAAGGTCACTTTGAAACGACCAGTTGCTCTTTGGGAAAAAGGCAAGGCTCTCTACTCCTGTAAAGAACGAGTCTCAGAAGCCTCCAGGGCAGTTCTACTCTGTCCTATAGGGTCGTTGTGAGTCAGAATGGATTTAATGCCTTGAACTTGGGACAGTGCTGGTGAGCAGGGACCTTGTCTGAGTTCCCTGGGGTCAGAATTGGGAACAGAATGAAGAACCAGCCTCTTTCTGGGCTAGTTCAGCGTGAGTACGGCCAGGCCTTGACCTGGGGCATTAAAGGTGGGTCTGGTCTCTGCAGAACGATTCTGTGGTGGCTGGCGGTGGGGCCATTGAGATGGAGCTCTCCAAGTACCTTCGGGATTACTCCAGGACCATCCCCGGGAAGCAGCAGCTGCTGATCGGGGCCTATGCCAAGGCCTTGGAGATCATCCCACGCCAGCTGTGCGACAACGCGGGCTTCGATGCCACAAACATCCTCAACAAGCTGCGCGCGCGGCATGCCCAGGTGGGTCCTTCCTCTTTAAGGCCTGGGGCTGGGTCCCAGTGCGCGCTCTGCTATCCAAGACGGAGTGTGCTCAGCCCCAGTGACAGAGCCGGAACTGAACCCAGAACCTACGTTCAGTGCCTCTGAGGGCCAGGGCTGTCCTGATACGGTACGCCATTGAGTGGTTAGTTGGTTAGCACTGCCATGTTCCGACATGTGAGGAGGGTTTTAAGCAAGTCACTGTAGTGCTGTGTTTCAGTGTCTTGTCTACAAAATGGGGGCTAGAGTATGGTTATGGTCCAGGTACGGATTGGAAAGTACTTTGAAAAGGTGACGGTGTTTTCTCCTGAGAACCATGATGAGAGTAGCAGAGGTAGTCTGAGGTGTCGCTTCCCCAAATACAACCACCTGCCTGGAAGAGGCCCCAGGGTGCCTGTGTGATTGGTGTGAGTGGGCTCAGGGGCACAGGCAGGGTGGGGCGGGGCTGGACTGGATCTGCAGGTTCCTACTGTGGTGCCCCGCAGGAAGTCAGGCTCGGGTGGCACTGTTAGGGGCTGAGCATTCCTAACATGTCCAGGAAAGCAAGATGAACTCTGGGCGCAGTTCATTTGACCTGTCTTCTGATTGCTTCCTCCTCTTTCAGGGAGGCATGTGGTACGGGGTGGACATCAACAACGAGGACATTGCTGACAACTTCGAGGCCTTCGTGTGGGAGCCAGCGATGGTGCGCGTCAATGCCCTGACGGCAGCCTCAGAGGCCGCGTGCCTCATCGTGTCTGTAGATGAAACCATCAAGAACCCTCGCTCCACTGT